GACTAGGCCTCCATAACCTGGTCTGGGGGCCAGGGAAGGTGTCCCTACAAAAGCCACGTTTAAGTGGAGGCCCGAAGGAGTCTGTTCTGCGTTACACAACACTCCATTCCCACCACTACTAGGCTGAGCACTTGCCGCGGTTACAGGGTATTCGCTTTTTCCAAACTGCTCACTCAGCTTTGAGCTCCTGAGAGTTTTGGAGCATGACGTAAATTAAAAAAAAGAAAAGAAAAATCTTTGTATCCCCAGCACCTCCTGAAGGGCTCCTATACTAATAGTAGGCTTTTAATGTATGGCTGCTAAGGGAAATAAATGAATGAATAAATGAATGAATGAATTAATGAGTGAGTGAGTGAGTGAGTCAATGGAGTCCTAATTACACTGTATGGCAGAAATGCTCATGTTTATCTGCAAAGGACCTAGGCTGGATGCTACGTCCCAATTCAGCAGCGCCTCCAGTGTCCTGCGCACAGCCAGGTGAGACGCACCCGCTAACTAAGGCTACACTGCCACCGTGAGGGCAAGGCAGGTAATGCAAGTGCCGGGATGGGGCAGGAGCCGATGCCCGCTTTGATTCTCAGCTTCAGGCTGATGAGATGCAGAGAGAGAAATTTAGTTCTCATTTTATCTGATGTTATGCTGAGGAGTAGCATAGAGTAATGGTTAATCTCATGGGTTTTAAAGCCCTTCTGCTCAGGTTTAAAAACTCTACCATGCTTTCCCCACCTGTAAACCTGGAATAACCATAAGCTCTACTGGCCGGCACTATCGTGAGGGTCATACAAAGAATACATGTATATAAGGTGCTTGTACCTGTGCTTGGTACAAAGCATGCACTCAATGAAAGGGAGATGCTATTTTCTCAGCTTCCACCTTCCTAGACTATTCACAGGCCAGTGGGTCTCAAACTTCAGCACACGTCAGAATTATCCGGAGGGCTTGTTAAATGACAGATCACTGAGGCCCAACCCCAGGGTTTCTGATTCAGTGGGTCTGGAATGGGGCTGGAGAACTGCACTTCTAACAAGCTCCCAGGGTTGCCATGAAGCTGCTCCAAGGCTCATACTGTGAGAACCACTCGTTCTTAACATAAGAACCACTGAGCTCGGCTTCCCACCCTTAGGAAAAAGTAGAAGTTTCAAATGTACTTTTTTTTGTAGGGGTAGGTAACCAGGCTCATTTATTTGTTTGTCTTTTAATGGAGGTGCTGGGGATCGAACCCAGTACCTCGTGCACACTACGCACGTACTCTACCACTGAGCTATGCCCTCCCCCTTCAAATTGTACTTTTTTACAGAGGCTTCCTTGATTAAATTCCATAGGCAGAAAAGAAAATATTTAATATGTTGCCTGTTCTGTATGAAAGAAGAAGAAATAATATATACAAGTGACTTATTTCTTGCAAATAAGCAACTTAGGAAAGATAAATCAGAAACTAATAGAATCATTTACCTGGAGTGGGGTAGAAAAGAAGAGATAGAGTATACTATTTTTTTGTATACAGTTTTAACTTTTGGAAGCATGCTGGTATTTTGTCTATTTAAAATATTAAATCAAATCAAAAGTTTGTGGAGAGGAGCCTAGAATTGAATAAAAACAGAAAGAGATTAAATTAACAATGTAACAAATGGATGACAGGACTATATAGAAGGGGGGAAAAAGCAGAAGGAATCCAAGTCATTTGGAACACAGTAAGATATATACCCTCAATCTAATGAAAAACAGAAACACAAATGAATATTGTGTGGTAGTGACATGACTATAGCAATACTGAAAGTATTTTGTGTTCATCAGTATAAATAGAATGACACTTCTGGGGGACCAGGTTTTCCTCGTGGGGAAAAGAAGGTACAATTTATGGAATGGGGAGAAATAAGAAAAACGTATGCTCTTTGCTTAAAATCAGAGATATTAGTAATCATGATTTAAAAAAATCAAAAAATAATATGAAATATGTATGTATATTTCCCAGCTCTCTCTGCTGAAAAAGCCTAAAAGTCATGCTAACCCAATAGCAATAAACAGACCTAGCACATAGATCTTGGTGTTTAAATATCACTTTCCATTAAAAATATCTGATTTGAAAGTAAAAGATAAAACTACAACATTCTGTTGTGCAGAAAATAAGGGAAGGCTTTAAAAAAATATGTAAAAGGGGGGCACATAAAAAAGACAGAGGAAGAAGCCTGAAGGGACTTCTACTGACCAAATCATTGACAATTTGAGCAAAATAATAATAAAGAATCATGATAGTAATGGATTACAACACATGGGGGGGGGAACCAATCAAAATCCATGAGTCTTTTATGATACTAAGAAAAGAAAAAGAAACAAAGAAGCAAATAATAAGGATGGCAGGAAGGCTTTTCTTCATAACAGAACATCAACTAATAAATGTAGAAGGAATAACAGAGTTAGAAAATCACCACTTTAAGCCATCATACTAATATTTGGTTTAGATAAGAATTCTTAAGGAATGCTAAAACCATTAGGTGGAAGTTTGCTGAGGAATGAGCATATTAACACATTCTCAAAATTTCTCCTCATGGATTATTAACTATAAGAGGAAAAAAGTACTTTAACGGCAGACAACACTGTAGCTAAGTGATCACTGACAACCGGACAAACTGGTATCACGTTTCCTGATACGATACACTGAGAAGGACACAACTCATGTCACATTCCTGCCAAAGCTGTATAACCCACATTTAACCACGAGAAAACTATCAGCCAAACCCAAACTCAAGGACAAACCACCAAGCAACTGGCCTGTACTTTTCAAAAATACCAATGTCAGAAGAGACAAAGAAAGGCTGGGGAACCATTCCAGATGAAAGAGTCATGACAACTAAATGCAAAGCATGATTCTCTACTGGATGAACAATTAGGGAGAAAAACTCACATTGTTATAAAGGACATTATTGGGACAACTGCTAAAATTTTTTACATGAACTGCCTATTACATAATAGTGTTATATCATCACTGCATTTCTAAATGCTCACGGCTCCATGCAAAAGAATGTCTCTGTTCTTAAAAGATAGATGCTAAAGCATTTGGGGGTGAACAATCGTGATGTTCA